AATACAGTCTTTCCCACTCTTTCCACCCCTTTCCTATGGCAGAGAAGCTCACAAAGAGTACTGCCAGATCACCACTGATACTCCTTTAAGGCAGAGAGGCTATTGTGGTGAATGCTGCCTGGCCTGGTACTCACTCTTTGGGGCAGTGGGCTACCCTGTGGCTCAGGAAAGATCTGTAAATGCTGTTGAAGAGTCAACTCTTGGAATCAAGGACCCTAAGAGCTTGCTTGGTGCTTTACCTCTCTGTGGCTGAGCCAGTATCTGAATCCAGCAAGTCTCAGAGACTCACCTGAGGCCCTTGTAGTTTCTGGGTATCAGTGCTGGTTATTCAGGGCCAAAGGGCTTTTCAGCTAGCAGGTGATGAATGCTGCCAGGACTGGGTGTTTCCCTTCAAAGCAGTGGGTTCCCTTCTGGCCCAGGGTGTTTCTAGGAATGTCATCTGGAAGTTAGGGCCTGGAACGGGGACCTCATGATTCTGACTGGTGCCATATCTGTTGTGGCTAAGTTGGTATCCAAGATGCAAGACAAAGTCCTCCCCAACTCTTTCCTCTTCTCTCCTCAAGCAGCAGGAAGGAGTCTCTTTTAGAGCTGTGAGTTGTGCAGCCAGGAGTTGGGGAGGGGTGATGCCAATACTCCCTTGGCTGCCCAAGCTGGTGTCTCAGTATATTTTGTGTCCCCCAGTCCACTGTCTCTGGCTCTAGTTCAATACTAGGACTTGTTCAAGAGTTGCAGTCCATTTAGCCCAAACTGCCTTTCAAGTTTAGTTAGAAACCCAGAGCACTTCAGCCCTCAGTGGTAAAGTTCATGGGAAATGAAATTCTGACCACTGGGATTAGTGATACCCCTTTGACTAGGACTGGTTTGAATGCTCCCTTTATGGGTGGGCATCAGCTGAACTTGGTCTGGCTTTCCTTTTTGCTATAACACGATAGCACTGAGTTTAATGTCTCACAATTGATGTGTTCTCCCTCACCCAGTGTGCACAAATGTTCTTTGCACCACACCACAGCTGCCAGGGTGTGATGAAGGGGTGGCTTCAGCGATTCAAGACTGCTTTTGGACCTCTTTAGTGCCTCTTTCAGTGACACAAAGTTAAAAGCAGGTATTGCAACTGCTCACCTGAGTTTTGGTTCTTGTGAAGGAGCTTTGCTTGCATAGATGTTAAACTGGTATCCTTGTTAGGGGGACAATCAGTGGAGCTTTCTATTCCACCATCTTCCTCCACCTCCCATAGTACTATACATCACTTCTTTTGGCTACTTCTGATTTGTATCTTTTTGCTATAATAAAACTGTAGTCATAAGTATAGTGCTTTCCAGAGTTCTTTAATTTTTTTTTAAGTGAATTATCAAGCTTGAAGGGTTAGTGGGGATTCCTAAGTATGTAGCCAGCTGTTCAGAGTATAGGTAGCTTACATAACCTTGAACTTGCAGCTGATGTCTGAAGTAAAAGCAGTCTCATGGAGGACCATGTCCTTAACCTTTGAAGTCTGGCTTGACTCTAGTAGTTGTTGTCAAAATTTAATGTAACATGTCTACTAATTTTAGGAATGCTGGATGTTGTAAATGCTATATTCTTACTTGTCTAGATTTAGTTGACTTCCTTTAAACAGTGTTGGACTGTGTTAGGTTACTTATGAGTCAACTTGATCCTTTTGGGGATTGATTTTATGTTTTGTTAAGGAGATAGCTTTTATTCTACCTAATTCTAATATTCTACAGATTATTTCTACCACTAAACCATGACCATCTGGGATCTCCCAGCTAGCTGTTTCCTAGAAATTGTAAATGACTCTAACACAGCTTTCATGTGCAAACCAATTAATTCAGAGCTCATACATTGCACAACCACTTCCTTTATCAGGGCTTTACACCCTGGGCCACAATTATCCTGTCCTAATCAGCCAGGTCCAGGTAACCGAAAACTAAAGACAGCCCCTCTGCCCGGGAGCCTGCTAAAAGTATTCAAACTAGCTAATCCTAAGCCTGATTACCTTGTCATGCCCATTCCTTCCTGCATAAACCACAGTAAAGGCTCTTGCCCACCTTGTCCCCTCTCTCTGCCTGCCTCCTAACACTGGTGCTTCCCTATGTGGTCTTGGGTGGTGTGCTGTGTCTCCTATTTGTAGGGATCTGTTGATATAAACCTTTTTCTTCATGATAGTCATTTATGTGTCTGTGTACATTACCACACCTGATTAAAATAAATCCCAGATATCATTAAAACACATACAAAGAATAAGTACTGTATGACTCCACTTACGTAAAATTCAAAAGCAGACAAAACTAATTTTTGGTATTAGAAGTCAGGGTAGTTTATTTTATTTTATTTTTACTGGAAGGAGGATATAAGGAGGCAGGAGCACAGTTCCTGGTATGCTGATAATCTGTTTCTTGACCTAGGTGCAGCTTGCAAGAGTATGTTCAATTTTTGCAAATCAATCAAGCTGTATATTTATAATTTGGGCACTTCCTTCATGTGTGTAATACAGACAAGTTGCATTATTGGTTCTAATTTTCTACCTCCCCCTATATCCATGCCCCTTACCATGTAAATTCACAAATGTTCTCTCACTCGGTCTCTAGAATCCACCATATGACTTGATTTAGTCAATAAAATGTGTAAGAAGTAAAGGTGTGATTGCGCTTGGCCTGAGCCTCAAGAGGCCTTGTGTGTTTCTTCTACTCTTGTGCTTTTGTTATTAACATTATATAGACATGGTGGAACTAGCTCACTCATCCCAGGATGACAGCCTCAGCTAAGTCTCTCCATCCAAACACAGCCTGGAGCTGGGCTCTAAGTTGTTAGATAGATGAATAAGTGAACACTGTCAAGATAAGTCAAGCTCAGCCCAGATTTCTGACCCACAGTGAATCCACAGATGTGTAAACTGAAGATCACTGGTTTTATCAAGCTGACTGTTATAATAGTGGAGAAAAGTTCATGAGGACAAAAATTGGGCAGAGTTGGAAGAAAAGAGAGAACGAAATTGAGACAGAAGACATTTCATTTAAAAAAAAAATTCCGTTGAGCTGGGTTTGAAATATTGCACTGCTTGTTTTACTAATGCTGTATGGCATCATGAAATCTATAGTTTCCTGAGTCTATCAGCCAGCTTCCTAGGGAGGCTAAGGGGACTGAGGACAGGGAAGAGATAACACTCAGGAACGCAGGAGGATTTGCGTCCAAGTGGGTGGAGGGAAAGACAACTGGCTTTCGTTTTGAGTAGGGTTGGGTTTGAGATCTCTGAAGGACATGCAAGTGGAGTTTTCCAGCAGGGAGGAAATTCAGAGCTAAACCTCATGTCTTTGTTGGAGATCTAGATTTGGGCATCTTCAACAAGCAGGTTGTAGCTGAGGAAGCTGGGACTGGACTTGAAGTCAGTGCAAAAAAAGCTTGAAACAGCTGTGATGGCTAACACCTGGTTATTCCATGAAAAATGCTTCAGTCAATATGGGTGATTTGGAAGTGGTGATCAATTAAAAACTGAAGCATGATTAATATTAATTATAACTCAATGGGAATATAATAAACGTCTCTTGGTCAGCAAGCAGAGGATGTCCTGTAGCACTAAAGCATCACTGTATATCATGTGTGCCAAGAATCAGGAGATCCAAACTGGAGCAGATGAGGGACTGTGCCTGTCATTGGACAAGCTGGCCTGACCCAGCCGAAGTCGATGGGGGAAGTACTGAATGGGGCTTCTCGGAGGTGTGAGTGGAAGGGGAAGGAACGAGAGATCTTCAAAGTAAGGGAAGAGTGAAAAATGGGAAGGACTGGGATAGAGCCCGAAGTAGGGACCAGAGGAGAAAATAGAAATAAAGTAATCAAGGGAGATGGGACACGAAGATGGAAGAATGAGGTAAACAGCAGGTGGGAAGAGGAGGTCAACCCGGAAGTAGAAAGCCAGGTCGAAGAAAGAAGGGAGAGAAGAAAAGACGGGGTGGGAAACAGAGGAGGAGGCAGCCAAGAAGGCCTGGATGCTGAATCATAGAAGGGAAGAGGTCGGAGAAGGAGGGGCTGGAGGATAAGATAAAGGTGGGAAATGGAAGAGTGAAAGAATCATTTGGGTGTGTGATGGCTAGATAGGAGTTCAGAGAGCAGCGGGGTCGCCAGGCCACCACCTTATGGGCCACGGCCCATTGGCTGTAGGAGCTGGGAAAGGGCGTCCCAGGAAAGAAGCCCTAGACTTTAGCCTGAGTCTGCGCCACTCTGGGGGACCGAGACTGGATGGCAGGGGAGGACCGTCAGACAGAACCTCGACTTCTGGCCCCAATCTGTGCCTGATTGCCTGAGCTCAGCGGATGCTCCTATCTGACCCAGGCGGGCGGCTCAGGGACGCGTGCGGGGACGCAGAGAGAAACCGCTGAGGAATTAGGGCTGGGAGAGACTGGTACCTGCCTGGCGCGCGTGGTGGGGCAGAGCTGGCACTGATGCTAAGAGTGGCTAAGGAGCGCGGCGCCCCAGAGCAGAGGGGCTGGCAGACGCTCAAAGAGCCGGGATGGTTCAGGGTCCAAGGAAGGTCACAAGGTTGGGTAGGAGCTGTGGGGGAGTGAAGGTGCGTAAGGAACCGGAGGAGCTGGAAAGACCCTGGCTGTGGTGTTCCAGGGTGGGGCTGAGTGGCTACGGACTGCCCAGAGGGTGTGTGTTGGGGCGGGAGAACCACCCCAGCTGAATTGTCCCCGTGGGTTTTTCTTCCAGTGTCTTAGTGCCACACGTTGCAGCATCAGAAGTTAATAGCTGAGGAACAAGACATCGAAGGGCAGCCTAAGGCGGAGGTGAATGTAAAGCGCTGGAGAGGGCGGGCGCGCGGGCGCAGACACCTTGAGAAACTAAGGAGGCCTTCGTCCTCCCTGTCTCCGCTGGCTGAATCCCTGAGAAAGGGGTATTGCTGCGAAGCCAAGCCAGGGCTGGCCGCGCCGAGGTGGGAGGCAGGATGGAGGGGCGGGAGCCAAGGCCGAGGGGGGGCGGACATGGGGTGGTGTCTCGCGCTCCATAAAGGGGTTGCGGGGACCGCGCTCTCTTGTGCTAGGGCAGCGGCCACCGGCGGGGAAAGCGGCGCGATGGGGGTTCAGTGCCAACAGAGCCCAGTGCTGGTAGGCAGCGCCACTTTGGCCGCCTTCGGGGCACTGACCTTGTACTTCGCGAAGCCCGCCAGCTACGGGAAGCACACGGAGATCCTGACGCCCGCGGCTACCAGCCTGTCCGCCCGAGCCGCCTGGTTCCTGCAGGAGCTGCCCTCCTTCGTGGTGCCCGCGGGGATCCTCGCCCGTCAGCCGCTCTCCCTTTTCGGGCCACCTGGGCCGGTGCTTCTGGGCTTCTTCTGCTTACACTACTTCTACAGGTAGCGTTTTTCCCCTCGGGTCGCCAAGTGCAGCACACTGCCGGCTCCCGGCGTCCAGGAGCGCAGCGCGAAGCGCGCACCTAGGAACGCCAAGGAGGCAGCGCCGAGCGCTGCGAGGAACGCGGAGGGTACCTTGCGGGGCGCACCTGGCGGGGGCCGGGGCCGGGACTGGACTCTAGAGATTTGAGAAGCGGCGGCGGGGCAGACACCGCCTTCACTCCCCTGGGACCTCATCCCCTCTCAGCCACTCCAAATCCTCTAGCTGCTCCAGAAACAGAGGCGGCCCTGCGGGCGAGAGGCGAGAGGCGAGCTGGAAAGCTCAGACTGGGCAGAGCTGTTGGCTAGGACTGTTACTTAATCCGCGGTTACCTGTGGCATCTCGCGCCCCGCCCCGCTTCTCTTTCTTCCTTCACCTTTTCGTTGCCGGGTGGGGACAGGTTGGTTCTGGGATCTTGGGAGAGTCTTACGCGTTTGGCATCTCCCGCGGAAAACACAGCTCAGAAGTGCTCACAGATTTAGTCTTTTCGGGTCTATGAAGGAAGGTGGGCAGAGCCCAAATCCAGATTTCAAAGATGGTAAAGAGAATATATTGAGATCCCACTGACTTAATCAAGGGTCCCTGCTTCTTAGGCCCCTCCCAAAAGGGACCAAGCACACCACCAATTCATCTACCTTTCCAGTTTACCTGGGACCTGAATTGTAAGTGGGTGAAAGTTAACTTAGAGCTCAAGTGTTCTTCTAGATTTAAAAAAAAAAAAATCCGAGTTCAGGAGAACTTTACCTTCTGCTCTGGGAAGGAAAGACAGGAAAGAGACGGAGGAATGTCAGGTTCAAAGAAAAATTGTCCAGCCTCAGTAAAGTGTCATAGGGAAAGGGAAGAATGAACACGTTGCTGAATTGCCTTCCATGCCCAATCGTTTAGTAGCTATGATTTCACTTAACTCTATTGTAACCTTTTGAGGGATTATTTATTATGTCCACTTTACAAAGGAACTGAGGCTGGGTAAGGTTATGGGACTGAAAGAAGACAATACAGCTGGTGCCCACTAAGATTCAAATCTGAGCCTGTGAATCTCCGAGGTTTAAGACCTTTTAGCCATTTTAAGTAGGCAGATATTCCATGCAAGAAAAAAACAGATCCCATAAACAGAGAAAGGTTATCAAACAAAATCAAAACCTTGAAGAAGCACTGCCTTATTTTGAGCAGAAGATTCCTAGGGTCAAAAGATAAAAAAGTTTGGATTGGAAATTAGGATAAAGAATGCCTCTGGCATAATCTCTCTCATAAAGAAAAAGTGATGCCTCATTTCGAGAGAAGGTGTCAGAGACAAATTTCAATCTTTCTTAATTCACTCTTATCCTCTGAATCTTCTTTATTGGTCAAGATTTAATATTTATGCAATCTTAACTGAATTCTCACTCTTTTAAAAAGGCAAATATTGTCTATTGTCAAGCAATAAGAACTAAATTGATCTTTCCAACAAATATTTACTAAAAGTCTATTGTGAACAAGATTATTTTACACAGATTTTATTTTACTCAGATTTAGATGGTTTAATTTGCACAGAAAGAAGAATGTTGGATACAGGAGATAAGAGATTAGTTTTTTATTTCACTGATTTTTGAATAGACACTTGACAGAGAAATGTGATTTTTATCAACAATTATTTTTATCTTTAAATTAACTACTGTATGTTGGCAACATAAACAATATTTTTATGAGGTAATTTAATCTTAGAGTAATGATTAGTGTTTTATGACAATCCTATTAACATAATGTTTAGGCTTGTTTTTCAAATCAAAAGGCACTTTGCACAATAAATTATGACCAGTACATTTTAAAAAAAAAAACCAAAGGAGTAATTACACATAAAAGAAATATCTACATACCGTCCTTCTTTGGAAGAAACTTAGAAATATTAGTAAAGGTCTTGGAGATTGATTCTGCCTAAGGGAAATTGCCCACTAGAAGTACAACTCTGAATTACTTGTCCCTGAGGTATCAGGATATGATGTTTGTCTTTCCTGTTGTTTGAATTCTTTCTTTGAGGCCACTGAGGCATTTGATCTGTTGTTATTTTGAGTGCTTACTGGGTGTTACACTCTGTGCCAAACACTTCAAGTAAATTGTTCACTCATCCTCCTACCAAGCCATTTAGGTAGGCACTGGAGGTGCAGGTGGGAAACTGGAGCAAGAAAAGATTAAATAACTTACTTGCCCAAGGTCACGCAGTAAGGAGGAATCAGAGTTCAAACCCAGGCAGTATGAATCCAGATCTCAGGCTCTTCAGGTATGATAATAAACTCTTTTATACTTGTTGAGTAAATGAGACCTCATTCTTGCTTTTAAAAACTGTATGCTTAAAATTATTTAATTTTTTATTATAAAAATCATTTTTCCTAATGAAAAATGGAAAATCCAAAAAGCAGAAAATACTCATAATTACAGCATCTAAGTATATTAAATGTTAATGTTTTAGAAAATTTATTTTTTTTCACTTTATTATTCTTTTTAAAAAATATATATTTTTTTGCATTTTAGATTTTGGGGTACATGTGAAGAACATGCAAGATTGTTGCATAGTTACATACATGGCAATGTGGTTTGCTGCCTTCCTCCCCATCACCTCTATCTGGCATTTCTCCCCATGTTATCCCTCCCCAACTTCCCACCCCCTGCTGTCCCTCCCCTAGTTCCCTCCCACAGACCCCGGTGTGTGATGCTCCCCTCCCTGTGTCCATGTGTTCTCATTGTTCAACAACCGCCTATGAGTGCAAACATGGGGTGTTTGATTTTCTGTTCTTGTGTCAGTTTGTTGAGAATGATGGTTTCCAGGTTCATCCATGTCCCTATCTATCAAATCTTTTTTCTTAGTAGATTTTCACACATGCTTGTTATGTTGAACGTATGGTTTTTTGTTCCGTTTAATTACCTAACATTTTATAGTGAGTACTTTCCCACATTATCATAGATTTCTTAATATCTGCTGATTTCATCTAATATAAAAACAATAATTTACCTATACATTCATTTATAGTTGGGCATTTAATTTGTCTTGGGGTGGGGCTAGGTACATTGAAGCTGTGAGGTGCATTTATTGCATCTAAATTCTTTTCAAAAGCTAGGTCTGTTTTCTTAGTCAGGATTCCCAGAAGTGGCTCAAAAGTTATGAGCATTCTTTAGGGTCTTAATATTCACACATATCTGTTTTGAGGCTTAAAAAGTCATTTGACTTGATAATAAGGATGCATTAAGGAACAAGCATCAGGCTCTCTTGACTTTATCTTGTCCTGTGTGTTGCTATGACAGAGAATAAGATGGAGAGACAAGGAGGAAGGGTGGCTCAGGTTTGCCTCAGACTCTTTTGAAAAATGTCTATTGGGGACTGTTCAGAGCAGCAATATGTCCTATTGTATGGAAGTTAAAACTTGTTACATTTTTCTCAATACAAAGATGACACACAAGACTGTAGATTCCACAGGGTCAAAGGGTTTTCGTCTCACATCTTAATGGCTGTATCCCCAGTGTATACAAAGAGCTGGGACATAGTTGGTACTCACTAACATTTGTTGAATGCATGAATGAACTCTACTTACAACAACAGTACAGACAATTGTAGGAGAGCTAGCAGCAATTACTTGGGAATCATCATTGCTGAGATTGCATAGTTAGGTCAATTCAGATAACTTTCCTCCCTTCAGAATCTATTGTTGTGGCTGCTGGGTTGTTTAGCCACATGAAAATGACTGCTGCCTAAGCATATTGCCTAATCCCACTGCAAAAGTTATTTGAAGTCAAGAGTTATCTCACCTCTCGTTGGCTGTGATTACAGCTGTGGAATGACCCTTTGTCCAAGCTCTCTGATTGATTTTCGCTTTCACAAGAAGTCTTGGTGTCCCATACAGTGGTCAGTCATACCACTTATGCATGTGGTAGCTGATGTATTTTTCAAGACTTTGATGGGACTTTGATAACTGAATAAACAAGACACAAAGAAACATTTTTTTTTTCCTGAAAAAAGTGACTACATTGTGGAAAGGTTTTGGGCAGTGTAACTTTCGTGATTACATCTAGAAGCAGAGCATAATGCACACATTAGAGTCTGCTTTAATTCAGAGAGATATTCCCTAAGGTTTAGATGCTGAAACATTTTCTTAATTAGCCAAATAAAATCATGGCCTCAATAAAATGCCTTTTTGCTTTGTTGGTGAGTTCATTCTCCAGCAGAACTTCTCATCCTTCAAGATTCAGGTCAGGCATCATTTCCTCCAAGAAGCCTTGTCTGAGTCTTTTCTTGTTCCTAAATCCAGTTGTGATGCTGTTCCTTGGGCTTTCATAGTAGTCAGTGTGGCTTTCCTTGAGGCATTTCACATACTGGATCATAATTATCTGTTCTAAGGAAATGTAGTTCTCATCTGTCCCGCCTTGTCATTTTACAGAAGCAAAGCACAAAAGGTTGGGTCAGTTAGGGGCAAAGCAGGAGTTGGAAATTGAGTCTCCTCATGGGCCCCTGCCAATGTTTCTCTTATTTCATGAGAGGTGCAGGTGTCGCAACCATTCAGAAGTAATCAAACCTCACTAAGGAAACTACTCATTTGCTTAGAATCAGAATCAGAATTAATACCTAGATTGGAAACAACAGACAAATCTCTCCTCTTACAGATTAAGATAACAAAAGCCCAAACAAGATAAGAAATATTTCTGTGGTCACTTGATCATGTGTTAAGGATGTTCCTGAGGCATAATTTGGATCAATTAAGATTAACTGAAGGATTTTTTAGAATGAGAGTCAGCAAACATTTTCTGTAAAAAGCCAGGTCATGAACTGTATTGCAGCAACTCACCTCTACTGTTATAGCAGGAAAGCAGCTACAGACATTATATAAACAGATGAATGTGGTTGTATTCCAATAAAGCTTTATTTACAAAATCACACAGTGGGCCGTATTTGGCCTGTAGACCATAGTTTACCAATCCCTTTTTAAGAAAACTATGAATG